TGCAGCCTCAGGTTTTTGATGGGTCTAAGAATATTCACTGATTTTCAGTGTTTCTAATTCTTTCTTTGTACCTATGGAAATAATGACTTCCAAGTCCTTTATTTGTAAGACCTGAAACTGGAAGTCCTTCCAGTGACATATTTTAAAATTAATATGTTTATTTTCAGCTCTAGGATTTCTTTTTCATAGCTTTTATTATCTACTGAGCTTCCCACCAGGCATAGTGGTTCATGCATGTAATCCCAGAGCTTTGGGAGGCCAAGGCGGGCAGATCACTTGAGGTCAGGAGTTCAAGACCAGCCTGGCTATCAAGTTGAAACCTTGTCTCTACTAAACATGCAAAAATTAGTTGGGTGAGTTGGCATAGACCTGTAGTCCCAGCTACTTGGGAGGCTGAGGCAGGAGAATTGCTTGAACATGGGAGGTGGAGGCTGCAGTAGGCCAAGATGATGCCATTGCACTTCAGTCTGGGTGAGACTCCATCTCAAAAAAAGGCAGGGGGTGGGGAGATTCCCTTCCCTTTAGTCATTAAGTTTTTGAATATACTCAAAATTGCCTCTTTAAAATCCTCGTCTCCTAACATTCTAATATCTGGGTCCTTTTTTAGTTTGTTAGTGTTAACTCCTTTTTTTTTCTTGATTATAAATGTTTTTCTCCTTCTTCACTTGTCTAGTGATTTTTAGTGTTATTTTATGCTAGACATTGTGCATGATATGTTGTAAGGAATAGGCACTAGATTATTTTCTGCTAATAAGCATCAGTTTTGTTCTGGAAGGCACTACTTTACTGGGGAATCATTCTTGTCAGGCTTGACTTTGTTTCCTTAAGGGTGGTTTTATTCAGTAGACCAGAGAAAGAGCATCATGCAATCATTCAGATAAATGAGAAAAGGGCTTTTTATGATATTTCTGTAATGAGCATGAATACAGAGTCTATTAAGCTCTTTTCATCCTGCTGTAAAGAAATGTCCATGAGTGGGTAAGTTATAAAGGGCAGAGGTTTAATTGACTCACAGTTCAGCATGGCTGGGGAGGTTACTTATAATCATGACAGAAGGTGAGGGGAAGCAAGGCACTTTCTTCTCAAGGTGGCAGAAAGGAGAAATGCTGAGCAAAGGGGGAAGGGCCCCTTATAAAACCATCAGATCTCATGAGAACTTACTATCCTGAGAACAGCACGGGGGAAACCACCCTCATGATCCAATTACTTCCACCCGGTCTCTCGCTTGACATGTAGGGATTATGGGGATTACAATTCAAGATGAGATTTAGGTGAGGACACAAAGCCTAACCATATCACAAATATTAACATGTTGCTATTGTATTGAAACCATTCAAAAGTAAAAGAAAAAAGTTTTTTCAAAAAAAAAAGCAGACATTAGAAAACATCTACTGGATCACTCATACATTAGCAGTGGGACTGTAAAGCAGCACAGCCACCCTGGAAACACTTTGGCATCTCCCTAAAAAAGTATGCATGCAGTTATCAGGGAACCCAGCAATTGTATTTCTGGAACGTATTCTGGAAAAACAAAAACTAATGTTCACACGAAAACTAATGTTCACAAATTTTATCCCCTATAGACAAAATTCGGGAAACAAATCAGATGCCCATTAATAGGTTAAGGGCTAAACAACCTGGGGCACATCCATGCCATGGAAGACTCCTCGGTAATAAGGATATCTGCAGCAACCTGGAGGGAGCTGCAGAGATTATGCTGAGTTAAAAGAGTCAACCCCAGAGAATGGAGGATTCCATTCGCATAACATTCATGAAATGGCAAAGTTATAGAATCGGAGAACAGATTTGTCATAGCCAGGGGCTAAGAAGGGGGTGTGAGAGGAAGGGAAGTGGTGTGACTATCGCAGAAGTGGTGATGGAAGTGCTCTGTGTCATGCTCAAGGTCAATATGGTGATTGTGGGATCACACTCGGGTCTTGCAAGTCCTTAGCACTGGGAGGAGAAAGGAAAAGATTGTATGACATTTCTCTGTTTGACTTATTGTAATTGAACATAAATCTATGATCATTTCCAAATAAAAAGTTTAAAAAATAAAAGCCACTAAAGTTATTTTTGCTTATCACATTGATAAAATTTAAAAATATAGCACAATAGCCAGCTTTTGTGACTGTGAGAAATATACTCTCTTATTTGATACCATAGGACTGAATTAGAAAGTTAGGGAGAACAATCTGAGAATATGTACCATGAAGGTTTTACTCTGGAATACTATCACAGAAAAATATCTTATAAAAATATTCAAAGAAGAACACTGAGATTTAGGTTGGGGGATCTTTAAAGATATTCAAAATAGTATGCAACATTAAGTTTAAAATGAAGGATATAAATTTGCTTATATATTACTATAAGAATCTCAATAAATAAATAGAAACATATATTCATATAATATTTTAGCCAAATTACTAACCTCAGGAAATTATTATTCATGTTAAATAAGATATTGGGTGCAAATAATTTAATATATAAAATGCTTCAATTTCTCAATAAATGCCAGCTCTTTTTATTGTTAAAAAATTAAAAAGAAAAGCGTTAAAATATCATAAACCAAATAGTAAAATTAAAGTTACTTTCAAGATTTCTCAGCAAAATGAGCAATTTTAAAATCAATTTAAAAATTAATTTTAAAGGAAATTATAATCAGGGATATGCTTTCCAGTGGAAACCTATTAACATAAAAGCAACACAAAATGTTTTTACCATATTTGTTAAGAAATACATAGAGCTTCCAGCAAGTTTTGGCCTTTTAAAAAAGTTTTACAGACATTATTTAGAAACAAGGGTACCAAATTATTTAAATAAAAAACATATTTTCTTCAACTTACAACATTGTGTAAATGAATATATTTTTATCCAAAACATTTGCTTGTGTTTTTCTATGTTTTGGGATAATTGTGATGTTAACGCCTCCTGAATTATTTCATTGAATTTCTTGTTGGGTTTATTACAAATTGAACTCATTATTGTTTTAAATGTTCTGAATTGCAGTTTCCTCATTTTCTTCTATTATTGAAAATAATACATAACAGGTTTACATTTTCATCTTTACTATGATCACAGTTAAAATATTAGCATAAGCGTTAGACTGGCTCATTAGAAAATATTTTAAAAATCAAGTTTAATCATTAGTTTTTTGTTGTTGTTGTTGTTGTTTTGGGTTTTTTTTTACTATTTATCTACGATTTTCTTTCTTTATATAAAAGGGTACTTTGAACTAACTAGCCTCATAGTATAATTTGTGTTGTGCATAAAATCTGACCTTTCAAAAACATTTTTAAAATTTCTAGACCAATATTAGAAATTTCTCAATTCTAAGACTCTAATTGTCTTACAGGTGTGGATAGTTGGCTGTGCCATGCACTAAGGGTCTGTGCAGTGGGGCAGTGCCCATCAATGAAAATGAAAAGGTTAGAAGAAGGTGTGTGCCAAATTCACCCACCATTTATTTCACCTTCTAAGGCATGCATTTTCGTGGGGACAATTTGTGGTGAGGACACGGGGCTGCATTATTGTCCTCCGAGCCAACCTGCTTGTATGCCATTGAAAGTCTGCTCAGATTCAGAGGTGGAAGTGGAAGAACGCTTTTCCCAGAGCATCCCAGGCTATCTGAGGGTCATGTCAGTGGTTCTCCCCTGGGGGAGAGTTTGTCCCTGTGGGAACACTTGGCAATGTCTGAGCATTGTTGATTGTCATGACTAAATGGAAGGGTGTCACTGGCATCCTAAGGGTATGGATGGTGCTAAATTATCATACAGTTCTGAGGCAGACCCCAAAGCAAAGAATCATCTAGTCCAATATTACAATAGTGCTGAAGTATTGTAATTCTACACAATTGCCACCCTGCTAGGAAAATCTTTTTCTGAGATGGAGTCTTACTCTGTCACAATCTCAGCTTACTGCAACTTCTGCCTGCCAGATTCAAGTGATTCTCCTGCCTCAGCCTCCCAAGTAGCTGGGACTACAGGCACACACCACCATGCCTGGCTAAATTGTTTATTTTTACAAAAAATACAAAATTTAATAGAGACCAGTTTTCACCCTGTTAAGCAGGCTGGTCTTGAACCCCTGACCTCAGGTGATCCACTGGCCTCAGTCTCCCAAAGTGCTGGGATTACATGCATGAACCACCACGCCTGGTCTCATTTTTGTTTCTGACAAACAAATAAGCATTCAAATATTTCCCACATGGCTGGGCACGATGGCTCCCACCTGTAACCCCAACATTTTGGGAGGCCAAGGTGGGTAGATAACTTGATTTCAAGAATTGGAGAGAAGCCTGAGAAACATAACAAAACCCCGTTTCTACAAAAATTGCAAAAATTAGCTAGGCATGGTCATGTGTTCCTCAAGCCCCAGCTACGTGGGTGTCTTGGATAGGAAGATCACTTGAGCCCAGGAAGATCCCTTGAGGCTGAAGTAAATGGAGATTGTGCCATGGCACTGCAGCTTGAGAGGCCCATTGGGACTAATCTCCTATATCCAAAGCATCACAGGGACCCTATCTCAATTTAAAATACGTGTATATTTTCCCACAAAACCTCTGAATCAGTCATTCCATGGAAATCCAGCTCCAGAGAAAGTGTGACCAATTTCAATAATGTATGTGTATACCTCAAAGTTTCTCTTCTTTTAGGTCACCACACACACACACACACACACACACACACACACACATGCCATCGTTAAAAATGGTAACCAATGTTCATGGAGACTTTACTCCGTATTGCAGGTTTTTCATGGCCATTCTATGAAAAGCAATAGTTCTTCCTTCTACTGATTATGAAACACAGCACTGAGGAGGCTCAACAGGTCGCCCACCAGGACCACGGCTAGTGAAACTGGGCAAGGCTTCAACTCTATGTGTTTTAATGACACAGTTAGTACCCTTCAAAACTACCCACTCCCTCCAGCACCTATAAAACATACATCTGCAGAAGATATGGGTAAAATATCAAGAAAATCTCAAAAATTGATACCTTGAATTTTCTTATTAATGTAAGATTTGTTTTATTTCATTGTAGTTCATATGTGACTGAAGAACTTGGCATGCTTCCTGTCGTTTACCAACATTGCTTTTGTCTTATGTGTTCTTTTTTTCTTCCCCTAGCCATAATGACTTTTCCCTAGGCTTGCAAATCTGGCAATTTTGTTGTGGTTTTGGTTCTACGTCAAGATCATAACATAAAAGGCAACATGATATTTTTCAAAATTTCTTTGCAAGGGTATTTCAGCATATTTCTTTCTACAGCTCAACTAACTTGTTCAATGAATGCATGAATCTTTCCTCAGAGCATCGTTTTTCATGTTTTTGTACATGTTCATCTTTGCTCAATATCTTTTTAAAAACTAAGCTCTTTTGGATGAATCTATCTTGTTGCTTATTGTAAAATCCAGATGGACAGGGAATAGGCATTCCCCATTTTGATGCATCTAGCACCTTCCCTGAGTTTATGACTCAAAGTGAGAGAACCTGGATGAAGAACACGGCAGGTTGGAGGTGTGTGGTCCAGGTTCTCCATGAAGCCAGTCGTGGGTCCTGGAACACTTTAGGTAGAAGAGATTAGTCCCAATGGGCCACTCCCAACCACTCCTTATACTGCCCTAGGTCTTCAAAGACAATGCACATACACTTACGTTGTTGAAGACGAATGCCATCAGTTCATGTTTGTTACAGCCCCAATAAACAACATAAACCTTCTCCCTCAAATCCAAAGGGGGCAGCTCTGAGAAGCAGGCATGCTGAGCACGGAGCTGTGTCTCTTCTTCTCTCACAGGGTGACAGTGACGATTCAGAATCACAAAAGTGATGGGGATGCTGTGAAAGAGAACCCCACTATGGCCTGCCCCCAAGAATATCTGCAAGAGACACATACATTTCTTCAAGGGGCACAGAACTTAACTTTCCACTTCCCCATCTGTTTTCATTTTAAACATTTTAAGAGGCAGTTCTAACTTGAAATCCACCAATCCGTCTGATTTTCCCAACCCTGGAGTTCCTGAAGTGGTACTCTCTTCATTAGAAGATTTTCAGTGGATAGATAAGGGAAAAAAAGTAGAAAAAGAAAAGAAAGCAACAGTATCATGATTGGAAAGAGGCTGGGGGTTCTTTAAAAATAGTGGTGTGCGGGGAGGAAGGGGGTGAGGTTGGCGTGTGAGACTCTGTGGGTCTGAAATCAAGCCTGCTCTGGTCCGATTGAGACCAGCTCACAAATCCAGAGGCTGGTAATCTGATCATCTTCTTTCTGGTTTCCATGCTGTGTTTTCTTCAGAGCCCCTTCTCCTGGTTCCAGCCTGTGACAGTGTGATAAGACACAAGAAATTTAGTCATCGTGGCTGCAGTAAAGGAGCTCAGGGAAGGGATTACGATGTCCCATCACCCTCACATTAGCCACGGACAGGAGCACTCCGGTGATTACAGAACCCAACGCCGCAATGCTTTCCTCCTCCCCTTTTCCTGCTCGGTGATATTTCCTTCCTGTTTTATTTATATCTTTATTTCATAGACAAGAAATCTTTGAGAGATTAGCTCAGAAATAGGCCCCGTCCCAACCAGCTCCCAAATCTCGGTACGCGGCTCCCAGAAGAGGTGCGTTCAGACGCGGCTGCGCTTCTGCCCCCGTGGGCTGGACAGCGCCAGGAGTGCGATCGAGCCTCCGCTGCTGCTCCGGTTTTCTTAGGAAATGCACACCGTGTAGCCGAGCAAGCCAACGCGCAGTACAGACAGGGCGCTGGGGAACTGCGGTTTAGGAAAAATAGAATGCCTCGTGGAGGCAAAGCAGGCATGGCTGCTTCCTCTCTCTCTCCTGGATGTTGTAATTTTTTTTTTTTTTCCTGCCAAGAGGCCTTCTCTAGCAACAGTCGGTGCATGCTGGTGCAGGCATGGTGGTTCTGGGGTGAAAGCTGGACACTGTGCAGAGATGCTGCCAACCATGCCTCTCTCTAGGAAGCCTTTGCTCTGTTCTTCAGAGCAAAATGAAACACTTAATTCACAGAGCACCGTGGATAACCACAGCAGTCAAAAACAAAGCAAAGAAGAAAACTCGCTAACCCTCATTTTAAAACAAATACATTTCTTTTGGACAATTTTTAAATATGTGGAAAAGACTAACAATTTTTCTCTATAAAGAGGAAAAGTGACATACTGTCCACGTGATAGGTAGGGAGGGAAGATGAAATACAGGCACATGGCTTTACATAATGCCAGCAGGATGCCGTGACTTTTAAATGGTTTCAAATAGAACCACAAATCTAAAATAAATAAGCAAATGATAGTCTGAAGGATCCACTTTAAACACATAGAAGGCAGCATTGTCTGAGGGTCTCAGTTCATGGTCGTGTACTAGAACAGCCAGACGCCAGGTCTGCTGCTCAGTGATGTCTAGCCTAGGGCTCAGTGTTGCATCCGTAACAGTGATGTCTCCCTCAGGATGCTTTAGGAGGGTTTATCAAGCGAGATCATACGGTTAAAGCTCTGGTAATGTAGCCCATTCTCACTAAGGCCAGTGGAACCATAGCACCACCATGGCTGTAGCAAGGATGGGGTGAACCCAAGTAGGCAAACAACAGACAGTAAAAGAGGGTGGAAAATGGAGGTGGGGGGTGAATCTATTGGACCAATTCTGAAATGGACTTGGTGCAGGGCTGACACTGGCCTTCTGCTTACTCTCTCTCTCTGTATTCTCTCTCTTTCTCTCTGTGTCTTCTCTCTCTTTCTCTCTCTGTCTTCTCTCTCTTTCTCTCTCTGTCTTCTCTCTCTTTCTCTCTCTGTCTTCTCTCTCTTTCTCTCTGTGTCTTCTCTCTCTTTCTCTGTCTTCTCTCTCTTTCTCTGTCTTCTCTCTCTTTCTCTCTGTCTTCTCTCTCTTTCTCTCTGTGTCTTCTCTCTCTTTCTCTCTCTGTCTTCTCTCTCTTTCTCTCTCTGTTTTCTCTCTCTTTCTCTCTCTGTCTTCTCTCTCTTTCTCTCTGTGTCTTCTCTCTCTTTCTCTCTCTGTCTTCTCTCTCTCTCTGTCTTCTCTCTCTTTCTCTCTCTGTCTTCTCTCTCTTTCTCTCTCTGTCTTCTCTCTCTCTCTGTCTTCTCTCTCTTTCCCTCTCTGTCTTCTCTCTCTTTCTCTCTCTGTTTTCTCTCTCTGTCTTCTCTCTCTTTCTCTCTCTCTGTTATATAAATGCGAAAATTCACGTATTTCCAGCCCTTCCAGGTAAAGGCACTCTGCTTGCCACTCAGGCCTTGCTATCCATTGCAGTCATGACGCCCATCTTGTCACTGAGGGTTGAGCTCTGCCATTGTTAGATTCTGTTGTTCCCATGGATACCTGGGACTCCAGGTCAGCCCATGACACCACAGTCCTATCTTACAGGTGAGAGCCACCAGGCATTCTTTAAAGGCAGGGCCCTCTGAGTCTCGTCAAGGAGTCTCAATCAGGTGGCCTGTTGCTTGATCTCCTGTGATAAGCCCATTTACCATCCCTGCCCCTCTGAACCTTGTGACCCTTGCCTCAGTGCTCTGGCTGGGCACATTCAGCTTCTCAATTTCATCGACTCCAGGCCATATTTAAATCCAAGCTTCTAGGAGCTGGGCAGGCAGTACATTAAGATTCTTCTTGTGTCCTAGCCAATAATCTGTTTCCCAAGTAATAGGCTTGCTCCCAGGTCAATGAATTCCTTTCCCATCCAGATTTAAATTCTCATCTCCCTAGTCCAACACCCTCAAAATCCATTTCCGGCATGCTCTCCCAGGTCCTGCTCAGGTACGTTAAAAGAAACCTGTAGTTCTTTTCGATAGAGAGCTTTATCTTTCCAGAGGAAAAAAAAAATATCTTGCTCCCCTGTGTGGTGACATGGATGTAGTTATGGGTTTGGAAGAAAGTGTCAAAGGTCACGTCCTAAAGGAAACAATCACTGAGATGGAGACACAAATTCAAGTTGCTTATTAGGGAGTGCTCTGAGGAGCAGCATCTATATGTGGTGAGAACTGAGCGAGGGAAGGTTAGTGGGATGGATATCGCCTCTGTCATCACAGCTGTGGCCCAGGTGGCACCTGGCCTCATCTCCTTCTGTGCACTGTTCATTCTAGATTCCTCCCACCTTGACAGCACTTCTGCTGGTGCCAGGTCCTTCTTAGGCCGTGGATGCTGTATTTGTTCACTTACTGACAGGGCAGAGAAGGAGGGCACTAGGGGGTGCACAGTGGGTCACCTTTGTACCAAACACATTTCCCAGCACCTGTTATTCGGAAATAGCCTTACCTCTTTGTGGACCGTGAGCCTTCCCTTGCCTGTTGCCCACCTATGCAAGGAATCTGAAGTGACGGAAAAGGCAGCCAGGACTTCCAACTCAGTGGCACTCCCCCTGGGTCCCCTGGTAGAAATCATTCCCCTTTGGGAACCATCACCGCTAGACCCACGGAGCCTCCAGGGACAGCAGATGGAGAGAAATACAGCTCCCCGAGGAAGTCCCTGGGAGGGACAGTGAGAGGAGCCTTGGGACTCCTGTCTTTGGTCCCCAGGACTCCACCTTTGTCCTTCCTCATGGGGCTCTGGCCTTTCCTCCAGCTGGTGGATGAGGACAGTGATGACTGCTCAGGTCTGAGAAATGGGTCAGGGGTCACCAAGACTTCCTGTTGGAGTGGCTGCCCTCAGGCCCCTGACCTTTCACTTTGTAATTTTTTGGTGATAGAGATTGGATATTATCCATGTTGGTTGTCTGTTTTCTTGGCTTTGGGGAACACCGTGCTCAGGATCCTGGGAGGCAGGTTCATGGTGGACACGCGTTACAGTCACCATGCCAGCCTTTCTCCCGCAAAACAGGGGTTGGCAGTGGACCTGGCTCTGGTTGTTTCAAGAGTCCCTTGTCCACACCACTATCAGGAAGCCCCATTTCAGACAACATTTTCTACTGTGAGATCCAGCCTTCAGTACACGGGTATCACTGAGGGTTGTGACACTGCCATGCCTTTCTAAAAGTCTACTTCTTGACATTTCAGGATGTAGAACGTCCTCCAAACACTTTCAGAGCCCCCTGTCCTAGCCAGCCCCCTTTCCCAGGCCTGGTGGTTTCTTCCTCCACCACTCCATCATTTTCCATGGCAGGTCCAGCATTTCCACTCTGCCAGTGTGGGACACTGCTTCCTCCCAAGAGCCAATTTAGCTGTGTCTTGCCAGAATTTTAATTCCTGTGTGATGAGTGACTCCCATGTGGGAAAGATGTAATAAACTCTAATCTACCTTTATATTCTGTCCTCTTTTATGGAACCCTGAGGACACAGTACCACACCCAGTTCCCTATATCCTGCTGCCACGTATTTTCCAAGTCCTGTAGCTTCCTGGCAGGCTAAGCAGTTCTCTGGGCAGAAGGCACTGACAACTCTTGTTATTGGTCTGTAAGAGAGGAGAGGGGAGAAGAGCATACGTCTTAAAGCAGGTGTACATGGTTGTGTAGGGCAGTAGCCTCTGCATTAGTTTTAAGCACTCAGTGTATAAACATTTAATATTTGCATATTTAATAATACGCACTATTAACTAGACTTTTGATAGGGAGTTCCCAGATAATTATTCAGCTACTTGTAACCAAATTATGGCTCCATCCAACACAGGGGCCAGGAACTGCTTCTCACCCATGCCCTGTGCTTGGATTTGCTTTACTGTGAACGTTTTAAAATTCTTTTTTTGTCAAGAGAGCCTGCATTTTTATTTGGTGCTCTTCAAGTTCTATCTGGTCTTGAGGAAAGAGATGGATGCAATATCTAACTGACAGAGTTCATGTCTGGCATACCGACTGTCAGGTATCTACATGCACGACTCATCAGCCACAGGAAGCAGATGGGGATAAAAATACAGAGTGGCAAATCTGGAGCCTGCCTGTGGTGGGAGAAGTGGAGGATGAGGAGGCGCTCTGCAGAGAGAGCCTATACAGGATGACAGTGGAGAGACCTGAGAGGAGTGTGAAGGCCTGAAGGCGATGGGGGCCAGAAGGCCTCTGGAGGACCATAACCATGAGTGCAGGGACATCCCTGGAGAGTCCTGGGATGTGGAGAGGGGTGGGTGTGGAGCCATGGAATGTGAGCATTTCATCAAAAGAAGGATGAGAGAAGACATGACATGAGGGAGTAGAATGGTGTTTAGTAAGGGAAGGACTAAATGTGACTCTGAAATTTGGGAAAAATGAAACACTACCCTCAGCTAGAGCCCTCCCAGTTGAGTGGTGGGCTCCATGGAATGAATGGGCACTGAGGTAGGAGAAGCACTGATTCTGAGTGCGTTCATTGGGGGACTGGAATTGAAAGAAGTGGCAAGGGATAAATTGATTATCAGGCAGAATCTGAGACAAGGGGGACTTTTTTGAGGAACTAAGGGAGCTTTAGTGTACTGGGAGAAAGAAGTCAATTGTGTGTGCGTGCTTGCATGTGTGCATGTGTGCATGTGTGCGCATGTGTGCATGTGTGTGCATGCATGTGTATATGCATGTGTGTATGTCTCTGTGCATGTGTGTGCATGTGTGCATGCATGTGTATATGCATGTGTGTATGTCTGTGTGCATGTGTGTGTGCATGCATGCATGGGTATATGTGCATGTGCATGCATGCACGTGTACATGTGTATGTGCGTATGTGTGCATGTGTGTGTGTGCGCACATGTGTGTGGGTACATGTGCATGTGTGCATGTGTGTATGTGTGCATGCATGTGTGTGTGCATGTGTTTGCGTGTGTATGTGTGTAAGATCCCATCTCTTAGGCAATTATGATTTTTTTACATCTTTAAGTTATCTAAATTGGCCACCCTTTTCTGACCTGGACATTTTAATTTTGACAAAACCTCTAACATATCTAAAACATTTTTCCCTGCAGAGCTCCTACTTTTATAAACACTAGAAGCACATTTTTCCTCCCTTAAGGCAAAAACTCAAATGACAAACCAAAACATAAGCCTTCCAAATCCAGCAAATGGCTAAATTTATCAATGTTCTCTGAGTTTATGTGAAGTATTAAGTTGAACCTTAATTGGTGGATTTTGTTTATTTTTCTTGCTTTATTTGCCTCTTTCTAAGAGAAATGTATCACAGAACAAAGAATTGTATCTTCAGCGTTCCATGTGGTTGAGTACATTTCTTGGAGAAAACTCCACGCTGATCAAATTAAGAATCCACTGTATTTCAGGACTAGGTTGGAGGTCATTACCTGTTTATCTGTTTTGTTTGTTTTGTTTTTAAGTGACTGGAACTTTTTTTTTTTAAACCCCAAACTTTCAAGCCGTCACACTAGGGATGTCAGGAAGAAGCGTCGTGAGCCATAAAAGGGCACTCTTTTCCTTTCGGTAATATCAGAAAGAACCATGAAGTTATCATGGAGCTGATCTCTGGATTCAAGGTCGTCGTCATGCTGGTAAGAATAATTTCCAAACAGATTCCAATGCAGCTCTCTATTAAAAAACTGTAGACAAAGAGAAATGCATGGACTGAATGGTTTTCAAATTAGAATAAACCATACAAATATTTCTGTTATCCAAGGACACTAAATTTAGACCTGCAAATTTTAATTTCATGTGACATAGATATACATAAACAGTGGATTCTGAGGTCCAATTTGAATTCTTGGCATAAAACAGTGTTGTGATGAACTTTTATATCACAGTGTTAAGGTTTCAGGAAAACAGCTTTCTGCTTCTGGAGGAGTGAGATGTGTAGTCTTAGTCTAGTGAAATATTGATAAGGTTCTGATTTGCAATGATTTTCTGTCTTTGCTGATTTTCTCAGGCTGTAGTCAGTTCACATTTCCCTGTGATTTGCACACATCCAAAGTCAGATGAAATTAGGCCAGAGCTATTTCACTGGTGCCCACAGTGACAGCGATGTCCCCAGATATAGGAATTTGCCATTACAAGGCTTTTTATTTGGTCCACCATAAATATTTCATTCAGTCCCTAAATGAGGGAGCTACTCAATTCACAATGATAATGTGTATATGGTGGAATTGTATGCAGTTCATTTAGAACACGATCATTTTTAAACTGTCTGTAAAATATGTATTTTGTATATTTAGAATATTAAATTTTAAAATGATGTATCTATGCCTTCAAAATTAAACGTTAGGTTAGACCATATGAAATTGCAAATATTTGAGCATTTTGACATTCAAAAGGCAATTTTATGTGGTTCAACCTAAATAATATTTCCTGTGATATATGTACTCACATGAATCATCAATTTAAAAGTGATTAGAAATAATTTGTAACAGAATGTATAGGTGTTGTTTGTTTGTTTGTTTGTTTGTTTGTTTTGAGACAGGGTCTTGCTCTGTCCCCCAGACTGGAGTGCAGTGGTGCCATCTCAGCTCACTGCAACCTCTGCCCTCCTAGGCTGAAGTGATCCTCCCACCTCAGCCTCCTAAGTAGCTAGAACCGCAGGTGTGCACCACCACGCTTGGCTATTTTTTTTTTTTTTTTGTATTTTTAATAGTGATGGGGTCACGCTATATTCCAGGCTGGTCTTGAACTCCTGAGCTCAAGCGATCCACCTGCCTCAGCCTCCCAAAGTGCTGAGATTACAGGCATGAACCACCATGTCTGACAAATTTAGTTTTAATGAAACAATAATAATACACAGCTTGTTATGAGTGCTTTGAGATTTTTGTTTGTTTGTTTTCATGCAATGTATACATTTGATGTTAAAAGTGTCTTATGTAATAGAAAGTGACTGCAAGAGTAGAGGAATCCAATGGAAGGCCTTATCTGTCCAATCTTAATGACTCCAAGACCAGTTGACTTGATTACCAAGTTCAAATTAGGTTGAATATCTGACTGAAATAACTTTATTGCATTAAAGATACTGCGTCAAGCTGTATGAAGTCTTTGATTGTTTAGTGACTTGTTTCAGAAACAGAAATAGTAATGCAAATATCTGTACTTGTAACAGTTACAACCAAAAGTTTTTTAAGATTTATTTTATTTTCATTTTTTATTTTACTTTACGTTCTGGGACACATGTGCAGAACGAGCAGGTTTGTTACATAGGTGTACATGTGCCATAGTGATTGATAAGGGCAGCAAAAGTTTTTAAATGAAAAACAGGACATGTGGCAGACAATGTGGTAAGTATTCATTTACAAATACTATTCTAATCACCATTTCACACCTGGAAAAAAAACATGGCATGTCAACGGTAAGACACTCACCAAAGACACACAGCTTCTTAGTGATCTATCACAGCAAACTTTGAGGAGAGAGAGAGAGAGAATGTGTGTGCGTGTGTTCCAAATATATAAGACTTATATGCAATTCCAGGTATTTCAAAATAGTGTTTATTTTGCTAAAATGTGTACAGAAGGTTCCAACTTGTATCACACTTGTAAGTCTCCGAGGTCATCTAACGTTTGGAAGTGTTAAACGCCAAAGAAAAGAAATGCCGTAAGAATAGGAAGAAGGAAGGGGCCTGAGAATAATATTCTTGCCCATAATCCTGTCTATCTATTTGAGTTGCTGTGACTGAATACCATAAACGGTAACATGAACAACATTAATGTAATCCTCACAGTTCTGGAGGCTGGGACATTCAAGATCAAGGCACTGACAGATTCTGTGTCTAGTGAAACCCCGTATCCTGGTTCACAGATGGCACCTCCTCACAGTGTCCTCACATGGTGGAAAGGGCAAGAGAGCTCTCTGGGTCTCTTTTATAACAGCACTAATCCCATTCCTGAGGGTTCCACTCTCATGACCTAATCTCCTACCAAATGCCCGCCTCCTTGATACCATCACGTTGCGGGTGATGACTTCAACAAATGAATTTTAAGAGGACAAAACATTAAGTCTAGAGCAAACCCTATGCATTAAAAGGAGACATGAGAACAAGGAAATCCAGTGTAATGTCTACTTGAGTTTGGCTTGTGCTTCCCAAATCATGGAATAGCCAGGGATCAGCATCTTCAAGGAGATTCCTGATCCATAGCATCCTCAAAGACATTCGTGATCTTCAAGCTCCAGATGTTATTATTCAAATCCTGCTGCAAACACTTGCCGGCAGGGAGACCTGACCACACCCTGAGTGGCTCCAAGTCCCTCATGCAAGTGTAGTGATGTATGGAGATCATCATACTCTATTGCAATACACAGCAGATGGGTTTTGGTTCAGCAATGGAGACAAGAGAGATGAATCAATGTGAGAAGAACAAGCCCAGTGGGCCAGAGACTGATCTGGTTAACTGGCACTCCAAGAAGGGCCAAGTGAAGCAGAGAATACTCCAGCTGGTCAGCACATCAACAGGTCCTGTGATGGTTAATGCTGAGTGTCAAGTTGATTGGATTCAAATATGCAAAGTATTAATCCTGGATGTGTCTGCCAGGATGTTACCATAGGAGATTAACATTTGAGTCAGTGGGCTGGGGAAGGCTGACCCACCCTTAATCTCATGGGCATAATCAGTGGCCAGTGAATATAAAGTGGCCAGTGAATATAAAGCAGGCAGAAAAATATGAAAAGGTAAAACTGGCCTAGACTCCCAGTCCACACCTTTCTCCCATGCTGCATGTTTCCTGGCCTGGAACATTAGACTCCAAGTTCTTCAGTTTTGAGATTCAGACTGGTTCTCCTTGCTCCTCAAGATTGCAGACAGCCTAATGTGGTATCTTGTGATAGTGTAAGTTACAACTTAATAAGCTCCCCTTTATATGTATGTATCTTTCCTATTAGTTCTGTCCCTCTAGGGAATCCTGATTGATACAGATTTTGATACCAGGAGTGGTTCTAGAGGAACAGAGTATTAAAGATAGAGTTCTTTAGTTGGTTTGGGGGTTTTTGGAGTTGGCTGCTTAATATGATTAGGCCCCAAAATGCTAAGGACTCTACTTCTAATAGTAGGGAGAGCACTGATAGTTTGGTATGAACTGCTTAGAGAGTTATGCAAAATAAATGCATTTGACACTCTTGATTCACCACTTATGAGAGGCAAGGAGTTTAGTGACTCTGTACATAATACCTTTGACCATATGTGAAGAACCAAGGGACATAATGAAGCTGGTTGGTTGCTCCTAAGTTCAGTGGACAAAGTGATGAAAGAAAATTATGAACTCCCAGCTTCAGAAGCAGATACTGGGCCTCCCATCTGCTAAGATTGCCCTGAGTGAGAGTCTTATCTCCTATAGAGAAAGAGCTGAAATTGTGGAAAATCAGACACAAGCTCTTATCATGCGAGTGGCTGACCTGAAAAAAAAGGTGCATGCACAGCCTCATTAGGTGTCTACTGTTAAAGTGAGGGCGGAAAAGAATGGAACCTTGCAACTTGGAATGGGGATGTGTGGGAGGACCCTGATGAAACTGGGGACACTGAGTTTGTAAACCTTGATGAACCTTTTTTGCTAGAAGGAACAGTTTCCCCATTTCCAGTAGTGGCAACATCTCCTACCTGACTCAGCCTGCCTTCAGCCTTTCCACCTTTGCCTGAAGAGATAAACCCTGTGCTGCCTGAGGGAACAGTGATGGCCTCCCCTGAGGCAGTTTCTAGGCAAAATAATGTTGATTCTCCTCAGGAGCCACCCGCTACACCCCTGTTTACTTCCAGACCAATAACTAAACTAAAGCCCTGGCAGGTCTCTAGAGGTGATATTGAGAGTGTGATCCATGAACAGGTGCATTACACTGGAAAAGAACTGCTTGAGTTTTCTAATTTACATAAACAGAAATTTGGGGAACAAGCATGGAAATGCATATTAAGGGTGTGGGATAATGGTAGAAGGAACTTAGAGTAGGATCAGGCTGAATTTATTGATTTGGACCCACTAAGTTGGGACTCTGCATTTAATGTTGCAGCTCAGGGAGTTTAAAAATGTTCTGATAGTTTACTTGCTTGGTTAGTTGAAATATGGATTAAAAGATGGTCTACTGTGAAGGAGTTGGAAATGCCTGATCTCCCTTGGTTTAATGTAAAGATAGGGATCCAAAGGCTTAGGGAGATTGAGATGGTGGAGTGGGTTAGTCACTTTAAACCTACTCATCCCATCGGGGGGTGGGGGTGTCCAGAAGATACACCCTTGGCCAATGTCTTGAGAAATAGATTTGCAAGGGCAGCAACTGCGTCTTTGAAGAGTCTTGTAATTGCTCTTCTCTATATGACAGATCTAACAGTGGGAACCACAGTCACTCAACTACAAAATTTAAATACAATGGGAATTATTGGATCTGGAGGTGGCAGGGGCCAATGGCACCACTCAACCATCAAAAGCAAGGTGGATGTAGCTGCCATTACGGACAGAAGAGGCAAAGCGGCAATCAGAATAGTCTGACTCTTGCAAAACTCTGGCACTGGCTAATTAATCACGGTGTTCTTAGAAGTGAAATTGATAGGAAGTCTACTGCATTCTTACTTAATTTATATAAGGAGAAAACTTCTAG